CCACATTGTCTCTAGCGTTTTACAGTTAAAAACTTGACTGTGAGGACTTACCTTTGTGTGTTTGTCCAGGAGCGGCGCTTGTTTTAGGGAGGGGTGTGACAAGCCGTGGCTCACCACCTGGGATGTGTGGCCTCCCAGGGGACACTTAGCGATGTGTGGAGACAGTTGTGGTCGTCAGGACTCCAGGGGAGCGGTGCTCCTGGGACACGTGTGCACATCCTCCAGTGCCCCCCAGTGGCCACCGTTGCTGGGTCAACGTGCTGTGGCCAGTCTTAGAACCCTGTCCGGTGCTGGGGCAGTGGGTGGAGGGGACCACCCTGCCCTGAATTGTGGGGCTCGTGGGAGGGCAGCAAAGCATGGGCAGGGCTCAGAGAGGCCACCCAAAGTGCGAGGGTCTAGAGGAGAGCCTGGTGGGAGGCGGCTTGTTTCTGGACCACCATCTGCCCCCCACACCAGCCTGAGTGGGTCTCTCACCACAGAAGTCTGGCCACGTTCCCCTGTCCAGACCCTCTGTGGCTGCCGACATACCTAGAATGTGATCTAGAGCCCCCAAGAAGGTCCTCTGTGACCCAGCCTCATCACCAGCCCCCCTTCCCTCCCTCTTTCCAGCTCCACTCCCCTCCTCCCTGTTCTTCAGACACACCATGTGTGTTCCTGTCTCCTGGACTTGGCATTTGCCATTCCTTCCTTGCGGAACATTCCTCCTCCAGAACCCCCGTGCCTAAGAAGCCTTCCCTGACCAGTCCCCCTTGTCCCTGCCCCCGACCCGGTCCTAGTTACTTCGTGGCCATCACCACCATCAATCACAATACTCTGCATCCCTGAGCTTATTTCCCTCCCCGGGGTGGGGCGGGGAGCGGTGCTTTGGGGGGCTGTTCTGGCTCACTGTTGTACCTCGCACAGAGCTGGGCACACAGTAGGCGTTCGTCAGTATTGCTGAATGAACTAAGGGGTCAATAACAGGGTAGTTGCTCAAGCCTGGGACACATAACCTCAGTGTCCGTTGGTAGGAGAGGATAAGGTAAAGACATTTCCAGATGCGAGGCTCCTCTGTGGCCACGAGGGATGAGGTCAGTGTGCTTCGTTGATGTGGAAAGATGTCACGGTATATTGCATAAAAGCCAGGTTTATATGAAACAGCAGTAACCATTCCAGTTATGAGGAATTGCACACACGTGTTTTTGTAGACACACATGCGTGCGGCTTGGACTAAACAGTCACAGGGGTTTGTTCATTTTGGTGGTTGGGGCAAGAAACGAGCTTCAGGACTGGTTTGATCCAGTGGCTCAGTGACGTCACCAGAAATTCCGCATCTGTCTCTCTGCTCTTCCTTCCACCAGATCAGCCCCATTTGAAAATGTAAACATCTCGTGGTCTCTGGTTGGTGGCCATTTCTGGGGCTCCATCCATTCCTCCTCCCTCAATCTTGTCCGGGGAGAGAGAAGGTTGTTTTCGAATGCTAAAATGGGAAGTTTCTTTCCCAGAAACTTCCAGGGTACCTCTCTTCCATTCATTGATTGCATTGGGTCCTGTGTCCGTCCTTGAGCCAATCACTGCAGCTAGAGGATTAGTTGTTGTCCGTTAGACCACTGGCCCACCCCTGTGGGGTCTGCTAAGGCACAGAGGCTGAAATGAAAATTGGGTTGGGTACCAAGGAAAGGGGGCACGGGTGAGACAAATAGCATCATCCCCAATTTACAGATGAGGCATTCGAGATCCCAGCATCCAACTTTACCTCTCTTGGCCCACACAAGGTGGTCGGTGGAAGATGTAGGTTTAAACCCCTTGAAGTTCCTCTTCTTTCCCCCCTGTCCACCCATTGCTCTGCTGAGGCTGTGGGTCCCCGGACCTGGCTGTCCTGACAGCTGCAAGAGCCAGCCAGACCCCCTCCCTTGGTGCTGCATGGCCCGCTCGCGGCCCTTGGATTTACTGTATCTGGAACAGCATCAGGTTTTCGAGCGAGGCATTTTTATTTTGCCCTAAAAGCCTTCCAGGTGGGGGTGGGGGCAAGATACAATTCCTAGGGGCTCAGCTTTAATGGTTTCTTTTATAGAATCGTTCGAATTATAAATGCATGAACTCGAGGAAACCCTTGCTAAAGAATGCAGGAAAGCTGAACATTCAAGGGGGTGAAGGTAAAGCAGTGGTGGATGGGGGACGTTTGCTCTTTTAAACATGAGCTGTTAAAAAACCAAAGCGAACCCCCTGGTGCCGATCTGGTCCCCGGGAGGCTGGGTTTCCTGACTTGGGCCCGTCTGGGGGGCTCCAGGTGAAGTTAATTCCAGATGTGGACGGGCCCAGGGCCTCCAGAAGCACCACTTTCATTGGCCTCTGACCCCTCCGACCTAACTGGGGGTTATGCATTTCTGTCCCGGTTACACAGCCTGGGTTCAAATTCTGCTCTGTCACTTCCAAGCTGGGTGTCCTTGGTCAGGTTATTCGGCTTCTCTGGGCTGTTCTCTCATGAGTGAGATCGGCTTTCTTTGCCCTGTCTCTTGCTTTACCTTTCTTTGGAATATTTATCACCATACGGCATGACAATAAGTACACCCTGGCCAGTGGCCTGAGCTGATACCCTGCTCTCAGCTCCCAGCCGGCTCTGCCCAGCAGCAGAGCACAGGACATGGCGCTTGTTCCGTCCACTTTCTCCTGTCTGTCTCTCCGGCCCCGTACCCTCTGGGTGCCCTCCTTCCTCCTCCCCAAGCTTCTTCCAGATCCTTCCAGATCCTCCCTAACTGGGCACTCTGATGCAAGCCCTGACCTCTCAGTGGTGGAGTCAGGGTGCCTGGGCTCGGCCCTCAGGCTGCTGTCCAGCTACACCCTGTCCCCAGAGGAATTCCTCCCTGTCACCCCAACCGATGCCCCGAGCCAACATTTATCGAGCATGTCCGACGTGCAAAGCTCTGTTCTGGGAAGCGTCTGCGTGTTGAGTGACAGAGGCAGGACTTGAACTCGGGAAGTCTGGCGCCCAGCCAGAGCACGTGTGGTTCCAAAGTCCGTCTCTCCCCCCGGATCAGGAGCTGCACCCGGGCTGGGATGGTCCACTGCCCACCTGCCAGCTTCCCTCGGGCGACAGGTGGACACCGAAAATGGCAGCCATTGAACCACACTGCGTTCCGCCTTCCACCCTCCCCCACCCTTGCCTCAGTTTCCCCACCTCCATAAACGGCCCCTCCCTTCTTCCAGGTGCTCAGGCCCAGAGCACGAAAGTCAGGTGTGACTGCACCTTCTCGCAGCCTCTCTGTCCAGTCCCTCAGCAAATTCTGCCAGATGTTTCTTTCAAGGTGGATCCAGGCTCTGTTGTTTCCCAGCTTGGGATGTGCTCTTGTTATGTGACCATGGGGTGAAACTGGGGAAGGGTACAGGGCACGTCCCTGTACATTTTCTTCTGCAACTTCCTGTGATTCTGTAATCATTTCAAAACAAAACTTTAAATGTAAATTCCAAAGACGGATTTGAAAAATGAATCACTGAGGATCTGTCTCTGGCCAGCCCTGCTCGCTGCTGCCTGGAGCCAGCCCTGTCCCTCTCCCTGGACTGTCCAGTAGCCTCCCCCTGGCCCTCCGGGGGCACCTGAGGTGCTCTGTTAGAGACAGCTCGGGGTGCCCGCTGCGCAGCTCAAACACCCCGTGGCTGCCACTTCACACCACTGTCTCAGTCCCTGGTCCACAAACTGGGGGGCTGAAAGCAGCAGGGCTTCGTCCTCCCGTAGTCTGGAGGCCAGAAGTCCCAGGGCTGTACCCCTTCCGAAGGCTTGAGGAACGAGTCCTTACTTGGCTTCGTTGGTGTTTGGTGTTTGTTGGCCTCCTTCCCTCGGGGGTGTGTGTGCGTGCGTGTGTGTTTGTCGGTGTCTCTGTGTTTTCACGTGGCCTTCTTTTTTTTTTTTTAAAGATTTTATTTATTTATTCATGAGAGATAGAGAGAGAGAGAGGCAGAGGCAGAGGGAGAAGCAGGCTCCCCGCAGAGCGGGGAGCCCGATGCGGGACTCAATCCCAGGACCCTGGGATCATGACCTGAGCTGAAGGCAGACGCCTAACCGACTGAGCCACCCAGGCGTCCCTCACGTGGCCTTCTTCTAAGGACACCAGTCATTGGGTTAGCTGCCATCACCACCCTCAAGTCCGGTGTGACCTCATCTTAACTAGTTACGTCTGCAAAGATGCTATTTTCAAATAAGGTCACATCCTGAGATTCTGGGTGGACATGAATGTGGAGGGACACTGTTCAATTCAGTAAACAGAATAAAGGAAAAGTGCTTGCTGTTGCCCACAGGACCCTACATGATCTGTGCTCCCAGTAGTCCCCCCTGATTTATCCCACTGACCCCTCCTTCGTCCCTGCTCACCCCAGTCGGTGCTCTAACCCGGCAGCTGGTCTCTTACCTGTTGCTTGAACACACCAGCCTTGCTCCCACCTCCAAGCAGTTACCTTTGCGGTGCCCTCTGCCCGGAATGCCTGTCCCCAATACCTACATACATGGCTCCCTCCCTCGCTGTTACCCAGTCCTCTGCTCAAACGGCCCCTCCATGCATAAGGTGGTTGTCACTGGGGCTGTTTGCCATGGTTCCCACCCTCCTTGGGCAAACAGGGTTCTCCCACCTCTTGAAATTAGGTGGATCACATGACCCACTTTGGCCAAGGAAATGTAAGTGGAGCTTCCTCTAGCCCAAGCCCCGCAAACCTTAGCCGGCTCCTAACCCACCCCGCTCCGTTTTTCTCCCCGCACACATATCACCACGGGCTACCGTGGTCTGTGCTTCCTGCCCGCACCCCCCCTGTACCCCATGCATGCCGAGAGGACACCTCTGTGTGCTTCCTTGCTGTGTTCCAAGCTCCTGAACAACCTGGCATAAATGCTGAATAAGTACTTGCTGGATGGACAATAGCAGGTGCATGAGTGAACCATGGAGGCGAGGATAGAAGTCACGCCACGCAGCCCCTCCCCGCAAACCGCTTCTCCTGTAATCGATCTTCTGTGCATTTGACTGCTTCCGGTCTAGGGCAGAGCATCAACCCCAAGTTGGCGGGCCTGATCGGGCGGCACGGACCCCAGAACAAGCAGCCCTTCATGGTGGCCTTCTTCAAGGCCACGGAGGTCCACCTTCGCAGCACCCGCTCCACGGGGGGCAAGCAGCGCAGCCAGAACCGCTCCAAGACTCCCAAGAACCAGGAAGCCCTGCGGGTGGCCAACGTGGCAGGTACGCCCTGGGGCGGGAGGGGCAGTGCACGGACCCCAGGAACCCACAGCAGGACCCCAGTAGGGGCGTGACTCAAATCCATTCCTATGCCCCGCAAATGATCCTCGAGCCAACATAGCAGGAAGCAAACCCCGCAAAATCCCATCCTGCGCAGAGCTCACCGCCTTAACTGTATAAAAGTAGTAAGTTCATTTAGAAATGCACATAGCACAACATTAGTGTAACAAGATGCCAGTCGTGTAAATTTCCAAGTAGACAAAGTGATGGCTACAAATAAATGAAAGAAAGCTCTAGAAACATGTAGTGGGAAGATACCACACCACCTTCCCCAGGGAGGCCGCTGCTTGGGAGTGAAAAGGAGAAAAAAATGGGGGAGTTTGCTGTGTTTTCAATTCTAGTTCTTAAAGTGAGATATTTGAAACTCATGGCTCATTTTACTACTTTGTTAAATATGGGTCGTAGTGAGTTTTCTGTGTATTATTTGGGATAGTTTTAGGTTTGTTTGAAATGTTTTGTTATTATAAGTAAAAAAAAAATGAGCATTAGATTTTCCAGTGTATTTTGGGGGATACTTTTAGGTTCATTGCCATGATGCATTATTATAAGTAAAAACAAATTAAAAATAAAGCTAGCATTTTCATAGCTAGCAATTCAAAGATTTAATAGAAAATACTGGTTAGTGCATTCCTTCCAGGAAACCTCCAGGGCTTGAGACATTTAGGTACTTGTTGTAGGGTGTATGGTATTCTGTGGTTCTTGAGGCTCTGAGGAGGATGGCCTGCCATTTGATAGTGGAGACAGACATGGGGCATAGAGAGGTTAAGTAACTTGTCCAAGTGCACAAAGCAAGTAAGTGGCAGCCCTGGGATTTGAGCCTGTTTGGTTTTGCCAGGAGGCGTCTGCTTGATGAACTCTGGGCCCCCTAACAACCCTGTTAACTATCTTCACACAATTCACTAGGCATTTGCTGGGCCCCGTGTGGGCCTGCCTTTGCCAGCCTTGGGGCTTGGCTGCAACAGGGTCCTTTTCCCTCTGGGCTGACCAGGCACCAGGGTGTTGTTGGCATCTGGTGGCCTGGGGTTGCTGGGATGAGTCTGGGGGCTGGGCTGGCCTGGACCGGCCTCTTCAACACTGTGGACGCCTGTGGCCTGCATGCCCACACCCTGCCCCGCCCCGCCCCATGGTCTCTTGCATGTTGAGTGCCACTTCTGAAAAGATGCACCTCGATGTTCCCCCAGACCAAAAGGAAAGTTGCAAATAAATTAACTTCACCAACAAACCATTTTCCCCATGGACTGCGGAAGTGACCACCCAGATCCAAGGTGCCCAGCTTGTGGCTGAAAGAAACCACCTGCCCTGTCCCCTCACCTTGACCAACTGTACTGCTCTCTGAGCGGTGCTCCCTCAGCTCCCCAGATGTCCATGTCTTAATCCCCAGGACTGGTGAATCCGTTACCTTACATGGCAAAGGGGGCCAAGGCTGCCAATAGAATGTGGGTTGCTCATCAGTTGACCTTAAAATAGGGACATAAGCCGGGATGGTCCAGGTGGGCCCAGCATCCCACTGTAATCACGGAGGTCCTTCCAGGCGGAGAATCCCTCCTCGCTGTGGTCCGAGAGGTGTGAGGCCAGAGGAGGGCAGAGAGGTGTGATGTCGCAGGCTTTGAAGATAGAGGTGGGGTGTGGCACAGAAGCCGACAAGGTGGGTGGCTTTTAGAAGCTGGAAGAGACAAAGAAATCGATTTCTCCCTGAGCCTCCGGAAGGAACACAGTCCCACTGACCCCTTGAATTTAGCCCGTGTTGGACTTCTGAACTACAGAGCTGGAAGATGATAAACTGGTGTTGTTTTCAGCCGCCGTGTTTGTGATAATTCGTTAAAGCAGCCGTAGGAAGTGGACCCACCACGTTTGCAGAGTGGTTTACTCTGCGTGCCCCTGCGCCATCTCAGAGCGCTGGGTGGGCTGCGAGGCCAGGCAGGGTCTGCAGCGGAATCAGCCTGCCGGCTGCATGGGCAGCTCTGAGCTGAGCTGTGCCCGGAGGGGAACACGGGGGGCACGCGGCGGCCAAGCAGCCCCCACCCCCAGACTAACCTTTTACTGTCATCAGCTTCTTTGGCTTCATGTAGCCAGTTTTCCTATTTCTGTTCATTTTCCTTTTTGAAGGCGAAGAAAGGAACGGTCGCTGTGCTTGGTGAAGTTTTTAGAGCAGGGTTTCCTGACCCCAGGGCCCCTGCATGGGCTTCAGTGTCTGAAGCTTGTGTGCAGGGATTCTGGAGGGCTTCTTCACTGGCAGGTGGATCCATTCCTTTTTTAGGCTTCTTGGAAGGCTCTGTAAGGCCCCCTAACGAAAATCCGACAGAATCCCTTAATTTGCAGTGGGAACTTCCTCTGGGCTGGCTCTAGCAGCTTGAGTCCCCTGGGGAAAGCCAGCCATGGTCCGCCCTCGGGTCTGGGCCAGGCTGGACGTGGCTGTCACTTACTAACAGTCCTGAGGGGCAGGGGATGGTGACTAGGGCTGCAGAGGAGACTGCCCCGCCAAGAACTTAGGGACTAGCAGGTGCCCCTGAGGCCTGGCTGGGTCGGCTTGACCAGAGTGATCTGGGGAGTGGGACCCACAGGCATGGGGCTTAGGGTGGGAGGCGGCAGCGCTCCTTTGAGGGGAGAGGGAGGCCGTGGAACAAGGGGAGGGTGGGGCTGGCAAGGTGAGCAAGATCAAGAGTCCTCTTCAGAGTCACATCTTGAGTTTGAACTTCATCCAAAACAAATTTGGAAGCCTCTGCAGAGTTTGAAGCTATGGTGTGGGGGCAGGGGTGATCAGATGATCCTTCTGGCTGCGCTGAGAATGGTGGGGAGCAGGGTGGGGTGCTCAGGGAGGGTCAGAGGAGGGAGACTTGTTAGATGTCTTTCCATATCAGCCAGGCAGGACGTGCTGGTACATTCCATGCTCGCAGACCCAGTGTCTTGGAGGCCTGTCGGGTGTAATGAAGGAAGAGAGACCAGGCCTCAAAGTCCTGGAATTCGACACCCAATATCCCCCGCTGCATCCCCACCAAACACTCCATTTACATAACCCCCAGGATGGGGCTCTCACTCCCTCACATGACAGCCGTTCTAGTTTGCCTGGAATCTGTCTCCGTCCTGGGACTTTCTACTTTCCGGCCCTTTTTGCAGTTTATCTCAACCCTTCCCGGAAATTTAATTAAAAAAAAAAAAAAATACCAAGGCCTGGGCCGCACCCCAGGCTTGGTAAACCAGAATGTCTGATTGTGTGTGTATGCACACATACATACCCTTTTGAAGGGCTTTACCTTATGTGATGGCTGGGAATCCTGCTGAATCCTCTCATGTGGCAGCCCTTGATGTGTGGGAGGGATACTCACCCTCCCACCTCCTGTCCACTGCAAAGCTTTCTTCCCTGTAGGCTGATCACCCCGCCCCAGAGCCTTCACCTGCTCTTAGAGCATGTGGTTTGGGGTTGAGAGACTGGGTCCCACTTTCTTCTCCCCACCCACATTTGCACCCAACCCCCTGGGAATTAGGCATCTTCCCCAAATGATCTGGGGGTTGTAACTTGTGAGCTGCTCAGGCAGGGGCTGGTCGAGGCAAATGAAGTGGCAGCATGGGTTTGGGGGGGCCAGACCAGAGGGACAGGGGAGCTGGGAGTCTCCTTCACAGGCAGCTCTTCTTCCCTATCTTAGTCTTTCGGCTAATACGCGGTCGTCAGGAAACAGGACTTCTGACCTCTCTCCCAGAGCAGCCTCACGATCCAAGGAGGCCCGGAGGGGCGGTGCAGTTGTCTCTGGTGACGGGGCCAGTGCCCAGCCCCTACTGGCACCCACAGCTGGCCTCACAAGCTGCTCGCTGCCTTCGTCTATTGGGCCTGGGTTTTAACATGAAGCCAAATATCGTTGCTTTGCTTTAAGACAGGGTTGGGAAAAGTGGCACTCAGGCCGATACTTGCCCTGCCTCCGCCCATGGCAGACATTACTAATCAGTCATGGCACCTTCTTCTCACTGAGCCTCACAAAGCTTCAGATCCTGGTTTACTTAGGACATCAAGCAGCCAGAAATGTTGGTGCTTGACCCGAAGCTTCTTTGCCACGTCCCTGTCCCAAGCTAACGTGTTCGGTCCTCTGTCTTGCTCAGGCTGCTTCACACATCACTGGCTGAGGGATGCTCTTCCTCCCTCCCCTCTACCTTCCACCTCCCTACAGCGAGGGGGAGAAGGAGGCTCTGCATTGACGTTGCTTCCCGCGACTGTGGGCGTTGCCGCAGCGATGGAGGCCATCTTTGGACTTCCACTCAGTGCATTCTGGACAGTATTGCGAATGGTCCGACAGATTTCTTGGAGCTCTTCTCTGATGGTTCCCTTGACCTCGACCTTCACATGTTAGTTACCACCTGGCCCTCTGGAGGCCCTGCTACCCCTGTAACTGGTTCCCTGTCCCAGCCTTCAGGCTGCCAGGCCCAGAGGTAGGGAAGGGGGACCCCGGACCCCCATTGCTGCTTTGTCCTCCCAACCTCCCCCGGCCCCCAGCCTTGGAGCTCAGTCCAGCAAAGTAGACCTTCTGCCCCCTCCACGCTGCCTGCTGCTGAGCCCTGCTCATGCCTCCTCATTCCTGGAAGGCTCTAGTGCCTGACTCTCTGTCCCTCGGTCAGCAGCCACTGCTCTTAGAGTTCTTGCTGACCTTCCAGTCATGGAAGGCACCTTCCTCTCCATTCCCCTATGTCCTCATCCTGGAATTTTCCTCCTTTGGACGCCTCTCTGGCTGGCTCTCATTTCTTTTTGGTTCTTACGCAAACATCCCTTACTCAGAAGATCCTTCTGTTAGCACCCTCCATCCCACAGTACCCCTGGAAGCACACCCTCCTCTCCTACCTTACTATTCTCCATCTCGACAGGATGTAGTCTATGTTTACTTGCTGACTTACTGCCTGCCTCTGTTACTGGAAGATAAGTGCCCCTGGAGCAAGGCCTTGTTTTGTTCATACCTACCTGTAGCTCTAATGCCCAAAACAGCATCTGCAAACCAGTAGACACTCATTAACAGTTTGTATGGATGGACGGATGGATGGATGCATGGATGCGTGGATGGATGCATGGTTGGATAGATGGACGGATGGATGGATGCATGGGTGGATGGATGGATGGGTGCGTGGATGCATGGATGGATGGATAGATGGATGAATGTGTGGATGGATGCATGGATGGATGGATAGATAGATGGACGGATAGATGGATGGATGGATGGATGGATGCGTGGATGGATGCATGGATGCATGGATGGATGGGTGCATGGATGGATGGAAGGATGGATGGATGCATGGATGGATGGAAGGATGGATGGATGCATGGATGGATGGATGGATGGATGGATGGATGCATGGATAGATGGATGGATGGATGGATGCGTGGATGCATGGATGCATGGATGCATGGATGGATGGATGCGTGGATGGATAGATGGATGGATGCATGGATGGATGGATGGATGGTGCACCAGGCACCCAGGAGGTGAGACTGTGCCCACCCCACCCTCACTGAGGTCATCTCAGGAGCTCTGAGTGTCCCCAAGGGCCAGGATCCCTCCTATAAAGACACACGCAATTCTGTCATAATGAATACAATATGATTTTCCTCGTTGGTTTGCAAATCTTTAAAAATTGCTTTCCTGAACTATAGATATAAAGATATGTACAAAATCAGGAATATTCACAGAGGCTGATGGAGGTGGAAGTTGCATGGGATTGAACCCACCCAGCCATGAATATGTGCTCATCTCAGACCTACGCATTTCCGGAAAGCCTGTTGGAGACCATTTTCTGATTGCTGCACCCTCTGCTGCCCTCCCTGTTTTCTTCTCGTCAACCTCGTTCTTCCTTCTCTTTCTCCCTCCCACCCTCACTCCCCTCCCGCACCATTTCATTTCAGATTTGTTCCTAGCCTTGGAGTAGTCCGAGTGGCTGTACATTCAGGGCTTCCAGGACAGCGTAACGCCCAGCAGGTGCCCAAGGACATCTTCCTGACTTACAGTGTATGGTCGCCACATGTGGCTTCCTACACAACTCTCACACCCATTTCACAGATGGGGAAGTTGAGGTCCGGGGAAGGGAATTCAGTGATATCCTTTTTATCTTACTGTTTCTCATTAACCTAGAAGCCATGCAGATAGAATTCTTGTGAATCAGGGGACAGCAGGAAACTGATATTTTGCTTCTTCCAAACATGGCGTGTCATCAGGTTTGGAGGAAGCAGTCATTAACTCCAAATGGTTAAAGAGTGTGTGTGGGAATGAAGTTTGCATATAGTTTTAACCTTCCCTCGCAGGTGGGCTGGAAGGATGATCATCAGCATCTTGTTGCCATGAGCTTAGCGTCGTGCTAAACTGATTTGAACGTGCACGGCTGCCCTGGTAGGCACTTTCTCCTCGCTCTGCAGACGAGGAGCCCAAGGTCTAGGAGAACCGGGGGCTGACTCCAGAGCTGGAGCGGCACCCCCTTACCTGGTCCTGACCTGCTGGCCAGACTCTACTTGGGAGCTGGTGTGCTCTGGGGTCTATCCCTGGGCTCCAGCTGACTACCACCCCCACACCGGGATGCACCTTTCCAGGTAGGACCCCCTGGGTGGTTTGGCTGCAAGTCTCAGAAACACAGATCAGGTGGCTTCAACCACTAGGAAAGCTGTTGGCTCCCAGTGCCAAGGTTGGGTGGGCATGAGGGTTGGTTGATCCAGAAAGTCAAGGACAATGAAAGCCCTGGCTTCCTGTCCTTGCCCACCATGCTCAGTGTTGGCTTCTCCTCGAGGCTGTGGCTGCATGTAACAATCAGCTCTACTCCTTTTCAGTTCCCGGGCAATAGGGGCAAGAGATGAGTATCTTTTCCCATGGGTCTTTCTTAGGAATTAGGAAACTTTTTTCCAGAAGCCCCAGCATGCTTCCACCTGTGTCCCTTTGGCTTGGATGGGGTCATTTGCTCTTATCTGAGCCAATCCTCACTCCAAGGATGAGATAGGAGCTGGTGAGCTCAGTCCTGGGTCTGAACCAGTCACTGACAAGGGCTGGGGTTGCCATGAGCCCCTGAGGCCACCAGGAGGGCCACTCACCTGACCATCTGAGAGAGCTGACCGGGCAGGGGGAAATGGGTGCATCTGGGTGCTTCCCAAGTGTAGGTCAGGCGAGCAGGCAACCCTGGGTCATCTCCTGGGCTTTCCTCTCCAACCTGCAAGAAGTTCTCCTTGTGTCCCTCACCCACTGGTGTTCATTACCTTCTGAGGCCTGGAGGGATCACAGCAGTAGACAGAAGCTGAGGCATTGATGTTTTCTTTATTTGTGTGTTAACTACACAAATATGGGTGGACACTGGGCTCTGGGGATCCAATGGTGACCTCACAAGACCTTTTAGAAAAGGCAACATGCGAGGTGAGGCTTGAGTATCAAGTAGAGCCAGACATAGAAAGATTATGAAAAGGAGCATTTCAGGTAGATGAAACAGCAAGTGCAAAGGCCCTGGGGTAGGAACAGGTTTGGCAGTACATACACAGCACAGAAAGAAGGCTGTGGCTTAGGAATCAGGGCCACATAGGGCCATACAGGCCAAGGGCAGGAGTTGAGGCATTGCTCTAAGCATGATAGAAAGCCCTTAGAAAGTTTTAGCTGGAGGAAATACAAGTCATGGGTAAGAAAAGAAAAGAAAAAATAATAATCATCTCCATAACTGCAGGATGGAAAATTGTGCAGGAACACCAGAGTGTGTGTGTGTGTCTGTGTGTGTGTGAGAGGAGAGAGAGGGGGGCAGAGCTTTCTACGTGTTTACAAGTGCTCAAGCCCTAACCCAAATGCCTACAAACCTTACATACTTCTGGAAAACCCCAGTGCATAGTTTTTACTCCTTAAAAAAACCTCAGTAGTGTGTTTCTCTGGGAGGTCAGTGGGATTTGACTTCCTGCCCTCTCATTTCTTCCTGGTGGTGGGGACTTTGTCAGTGCCCCCTCTTGCCCTTGAAGAGGGGTGAGCATCGTGAGGTGGGCTGGCCTCAGTAGGTGAGCTTGGCCAGAGGCAGTCCCCTCTGAGCAGGCTCCCGCAGCCAGCATGGTGGTGCATGGATTCCTATATGGAATCTGGGCAGAGGTCAGCCTCCAGACAACACGTGTGTACAAAAAGGCCAGTGTTCACCTAAGGATCCAGAGAGCATTAGGAGCTAAGGTGGGGCAAGAGGGGTGGGGACGGTGGTGCCTCTTACGGAGGCCGTTAGCTAGGGATGGAAATGAGTTTTAGGGCTATACAGGTACTCGAGTGGCTTTTGTGTCGGAAAGGTCACCTTCCAGCTGAGTTCGACTGCTCACACCACTGCCTTAGGCTGAGGAAACCCTAATATGTGTGCGTGTTTCCTCTCCCCTGCCCGTGTTTCCTCTCCCCTGCCCGCACCCCGTCTCCCGCCAACGTAGAAAACAGCAGCGGTGACCAGAGGCAGGCCTGCAAGAAGCATGAGCTGTACGTGAGCTTCCGCGATCTGGGCTGGCAGGTAAGGACGGGTGGCCGGATCGGCCCCAATGGTGGGGGCTCTGGCGTGGGTGTCCCCGCACACCCGCCAAGGCAGCGGGGCTGGGTCCCGTGTGGGCAGTGAGCCATGTTTCTCATCGACTTCAGCGAAGACTCCAGAACCTAGTGTCCTAACTAGGGTAGAGAAGTCAGGTCAGGGATACAGGGATGACTCATGACATGCAAGGGCAGAAATGTGGTGGAGACTCCAGTTAGAGCCAGGAGCCCCAACACTTTGGACTCTGAGCCTCATTCTCCATGGGAACTTTATCTCCACCCTGCGGCTGCCTGCTTCTCTCAGAGGTGGTGGAGCCCGTGTGCTGGAACCCGGCTGCCTGCAGGGCTGCCTTCCACCCTCTGCCCTTCCTTCTTCCGTGATTCCCCTTCCCAGGGCAGGGGCAGATTGGCCCAGCTCGGGTCAGGTGCTTGGTCCTGCACCAGCCAGCTATTTGGGGGATGAGATCATGTCATAGGACCATGACGGCTCCTTCCGGAACCACTTGGATGGAATGGGGCGAAGGGCAGGGGATGAATCCTAGGACAGGCACTAGGGTCATATAATCTAATGCCTGTTTATGAGCATCTGTGACATTCTGGGCGCTCTTCCAGGCCCTGGAGATGCGGCAGGGAGCGTTTCCGTGTGCCTGCCCTCATGGAGCTCAAATATCCCGAACGGGGCGTTGAGATCACCAAGGCCGCTGGTTTTGTTGTCCACTCCTCAGCGAGCTTGTGGTCCGGTGGGGGAGTCCGGGTTCTTCCCCGGGGATCGTGCCCAAGCGCACTATCAGGGCATTAGCGTACGGCCAGTGTGGAGTCCTCCCGTGGTTCTGTGCTCCGCGGGGCGCCCGGCCATGCATGCGCCCTGGTGCTGGAACCGAGCCCCAGACTCCAGCTCCTCTGCAGGAGGAGTCCACAGACTTGAGCCCGTGAGGGGTGTACATACTGCTAGAACGGTATTCCTGTGCTAACCCAGCCCTGAAGGCGGGCCTGGCGGTGGGCATCCTTCACTGAGCCGCACACATGTACCAGGCGCTGGCTGGCTCATCTGCAGTCACTTAATTCTCAGTGTTGTGGGTTAGTCGTCTCTCTCCCATGTCGGTGACCTGAAGCATGGAGGTTTTGTGTAAAGCAAACTGCCAACGTGTAGGCACCTTGTAGTGCTAGAATTGATGCCACCCCGGTCACGCTTGTCTGGGCCACCTCCCAGTAAGGCCGTGCAAGCGTCCGTTCTGGGCTTCGCCCAGCCCCTGAGCGGTCTTTCCCTCATTTTGCCTTCTGTGGGGGGCCGTGGTAGCCTAGCCTCCATTTGTCCTGCTTCTGCGGGATCCCCAGCTGCTCGGGACGGTGTGGGCCACGGCTTGGTCCCCTGGGAGCACAGAGTCTGGCCTGCAGGAGCGGGCTGGGGCGAGAAAGGTCATGTGGGGCTCAAGCTTTCCCTCCCGCAGGACTGGATCATCGCTCCCGAAGGCTATGCTGCTTACTACTGTGAGGGCGAGTGTGCCTTTCCTCTGAACTCCTACATGAACGCCACCAACCACGCCATCGTGCAGACGCTGGTGAGTGTGGCCTGCGTGCCCGGGGCGGGGTGGTGGGGGCACTCCGGGCCCTGCCTTGCGCTCCTCCAGGCTGGGGCCCTGACTTCTCGCAGGCCTTGGGCGCTCTTCCTGTCGTGGGCCCCTTCCTCCATAAAAACGAAAAAAGATGAAAAACCGTATTTTATAACAGCATTGGCATAAAGATGTGTGTAATCTCCGACCCTAAAGTTCACGGATTTCTCCTAATTCAAAAAGAAATAAGAACAGTTTCAGGGGCTCCTAAAGGTATCTTGGCTCATGGTCACTATGCCTCACGGTGAAGTCAGCCTTGGCCCTGCCTCTCTCTGGGCGCCTGTTCTTGGTTGTCCGCGTGTCTGTTCTGCATCCATCGGTGTCCCCACCCCTGGCCCCCAAAGTCTGGGCTTTCCTGGGTTCAGGCAGGCTTGAGAGCCCATTGCCTCCCCGAGCACATGTCTTTGCCCCCTAGCCTTGAACTTCGGGGTTCGGCCATCCAAGAGCATCTCCTGCAGGTAGACCCCGCACTGGGAGCTAAGGATGCCACCGGGAACAGCATAGACCTGGTCCCTGCCCTTGGGACCTCAGTTTCCAGGGAGAGAAGCAGTCAGGTGAACAACGGAGGATGCGTGAGAGGAGGAAGTGGTAGGAAGCAGGCAGACAGGACAGAGAGATGGGGCAGGGCGGGGGCTGTTTCAGACTGCACTTCCACGGGGTCCTTGCAGGATTCACTGTGATAAGAAGATAAGCTCTTAACAGGATACCCAGCCCTGGTGACCCTTGATAGAACTGATTTTTACTCTACTGAAAATAGCAGCAGTGATAAAAATTAAGAACTTCGTTCTTCAGCTTAGAATCTGAGGTTCAGGGATCTTGGTTATCTAGCTCCCTGCCATAAACATTACTGGGGCCTTTCCCTGGCTTGAATGCTCCTGGTGACAGAGAGCTCACTACCCAGGGCCATCCCCTCTGTGGCCATCCCACAGTTCTGTTTGTTCTGAAGCTTTTGGTTTCTTTTGTTTAGTGGCAGACTTGTTCCTGCCCTACGTGTTATGTCTTGGAGAAAAAGCTCCCTTAGTCCTTTCATTTGAACCACGCTCTGCCCTTCGAGTGAAGGCTTCTCTTTTAGCCATGCTTTTCCAAGGCCCTTCCTTCCCCAAAGGCAAACTCTGACATCCTGCTCAGGATTGAAAGTCCTTGGGCTGGAAACCAGTAGTGCTCCCAACCTGTTCCTCGGCCTGGGCCTGTTCTCCTGTGCCCGCGTGCCCCCTAAGGTCCTGCCCCATGCCCCTAGGAGGTGCCAGGGGGGTCTCCCAGGCTGCCAGGGGCACACCTCTGCCCTCCGACCCCTGCTTCATGGCCCATACAGCGGAAGCCTGGCTGTCCCCTCATCACCCATTCAGTCTGCGTGTCACTAGGGAGCTCTGGGATCAGAAGGAGCTGTCTGATTATCCTAACAAGAGGTTCTGTGGTCATGTTTAAAAAGAGGGAAGGGAAGGAAAAATAAAATAAGATGAAAATTGAGAGGAAGGCAGACCATTAAGAGATGCTGAGCTCTAGGAAACAAACAGGGTTGTTGGAGGGGAGGTGGGCAGGGGATGGGGTAACCTGGGTATGGGCATGAAGGAGGACACTTGGCAGAATGGGCACTGGGTATTATTACATGCAGCTGATGAATCTCTAAATTCTACCTCTGAAGCAAATAAAAAAAAAAACGGGGGGGGCAAGTCCTTGCTTTCTGGGAGTCCTAGTGAAAAACAGAGGAAATGAGCTGATGTCTGGGATTTGCTTTCAAATTATTCAAGGGTGGAGGAGGTGGGGGGAAGGTTTAGATTTGTAAGGTTTGAAATCGTCCATAATAAGCTACTGAGTGTGCTGTCTTATGTCAGAGGTCACAGGCTGGAGGCTTCCAGAATGCTTTTACTTGGCACACGCGGTGTGTTGGAAACCTGGAAGTTTCACATCCAAACAGAGCAGAGCTAAGTCTCTGGCCTGTCCTGGACACTCGGCACACCCAACTGCATTGACTTTGGCTGGCCGCAGTTAGCTGGCAGCATCCGCCCTCGGGTTTGCCCCAACCCTCACTATTCCCTCTTGTCTTACTCTTCGCCTCCTTTGCTCGTCAGTGGTGCCTGCCTGGCCCCTTTGGGCCTTTGAGTTTGTTTGCCCCTGGCCCTCGTCCCCTGTAAGGTGCACAGAATCCCACGAGCAAGAAGGAGCAGCAGACCTGCGCGGCTAGCTGGCTTCTTCCTTCATTCCTCCTTTCTAGACCTTCTTCTTTCTCGTGGACTTCCACCCAGGTGTTTGCCCAGTTTTGTCCTAGTTTCACTGCTCAAGAGGCAGAATCGTCTAGTATAATTTAGACCTGCACCATCCAATGCAGTAACCACTTTTACATGTGGCTCTTGAGCACTTGAAATAACGGCCAGTCTGAATCAAGATGCTTTGTCAGTCTAAAATATGCTAGGTTTTGAAGACTTAGTGCCAAAAAAAAAAAAAAAAAAGATTCTTTATGGTAAGTGTGTATTGAAATGATAATATATTTGAAATACTGGGTTAAATGAAATATATTATTTAATCTTACCTATTTCTTTTCCTCTTTTCAAACGTGGCCGCTAGAACATTTTCAATTACAAGTGTGACTTGCATTGTATTTTTCTTGGACAGGACAGGTCTAGCCAAGAGGTCAGCTACTTTTTTCTGAAAAAGGCCAGATGGTAAATCTTTTTAGCTTTGTGAGTCATAAGGTCTCTGTTGCAGCTCCTAAACTCAGCCATCGTAGTGCAGAAGACCTTGGTACTAGGGAACCAATGGGCATGGCTGGGTGCTAATAAAACTTTATTCACAAAACCAGGCAGCGGCACAGGATTTGGCCTGCTGGCTCACCCTGTCTGCCCCAGGTGTTCTCCACTTGGGGCAGATCTGCCTCCCAGGAGACATTTGACAATGTCTGGAGACATTTTTGGTGGTCGTGGTTGGGGGTTGAGTGCCTCTGGCTTCTTGTGGGGGACGCTGGTAAACACTCTTCAATGCACAGGACCGAGGGGCAGTGGAGAACAACCTGGCCACTGACTTCCCAGCTGTGTGCTGCGGACACCTCTATGCTCTGGGTCCCTGGTCTGCGCAACAGAGGTTATGCGTCACGGGCCAGAACTGGAAGTGTCACGTGCAGTCACTCCCAGGGGGGGAGTGTCGCGTGCGGTCACTTTGCCCAAGCAGTTGGCGGTCCTCATAGAAATGAGGAGGCCGGGGAGCAGGGACCCAGCGCTTCTCACCACTGCCACCATTTGCTGTGTGTTCCAGGTCCATTTCATCAACCCTGAAACGGTGCCCAAGCCCTGCTGTGCCCCCACTCAGCTCAACGCCATCTCTGTCCTCTACTTCGACGACAGCTCCAACGTCATCCTGAAGAAATACAGAAACATGGTCGTCCGAGCCTGTGGCTGCCACTAGCGCCTCCTGGAGGTCAGACCCTCCAGCGCCACACTGTTCGGGGTCCTCGGTCTCCCACCGCCCAGTGCCTCCCACCGCCCAGCACAGCAACTGCCTTTCATGAGACCTGCCCTGCCCCCCGTCCCCAACCTTAAGGGCGTAGGAGGATTAAGGAATTCGAGAAGCAAATGCCTTTTGATCAGGTTTTCATCCGCCTCCTATGGACAAGATGCTACACGCTGCGGCAGGCAAAACCTAAAGGAAAAAAAATATATAAAGAAAAATTGCCCAGCCACGATCATTGGCTGTGACGTCTCAGCCGTGCACTGACTCGTTCCCAGGGGTAATTAGGAGCGCCCTTCAGCCAGGCCACCCAGCAGCGGGAGGAAGGGGGCACGGCCAGGGGTGGGCACGTTTGTGTCTGTGCGCAAGGAAAATTGACACGGAAGTTCCTGTAATAAATGTCACAATAAAACGAATGAATGAAAATGGTTAGGATGTTACAGATATATTTTCCTAAACAATTTATCCCCATTTCTTGGTTTACTCTGATTTCATAAACAGAAGCTGTGGCCAGTGGAGGCAGGGGAGGCCCCCTCTCTGTTCCATTCTGGTTTCATTCTGAGGCTTGCAGAGGCCCGCTGTTTACATAGACTTGCCCAAATCCAAGATTTGACCGGGAAAGGAGAGGGCAAATTTCTGCTTGGAGGAGGAGGTGTGTTGACCTTGAAGGAAAAATATGTTCCATCCTTCAGCTGGGTGTGTGGCAGCAGAAATTAAATTAGGCATGTGAAGCACCAACGGACATTCGGAATTGGTTTTCCAGCTCTCCTAGTGGTAGAAAATCAATGTGGAATGACAGGGCGGAAGGGACAGCAATCAGGAGAGAACCCACAATTTGACCCTGAACTCTAGCTAACGTGGCCCTATTTAAAGAAGTGCCAGCGAAACCTCGCTCTAATAGGGGTAGGATGGGCAGGCTTACTGTCCCTCCCCTAGCTGGGCTCCCCTGTTGGTCATGATTGGCAGCAGCACCCTGGAGTCTGGGTTCCAACCGGGGCCTCTGTAGCCACCTGTTCTCATTGGCTGACCCCTACTGAGGGCTCTGCAAACAATAAGCTCCTTGAGGTAAGGAGCAGATGGCATGGTGGAGAACTGCTAGGTGCAGGGTATGCTGGACGTGAATCTCAAATGGAAGGATCTAGAAACTGCTTTGAGAGTGATGTCCTAATTGAGCATTCCAATTCAAAGGTGCCATCTCTGATGTGGCTCTTGGCGTGAGCCTCCCTTGCCTTGGCCAGTGGGTCCCCTAAATGCTGTGCACCCAGCCTCTGGCTGTGACACAGGCCTTGTGGAGCTCTGGGCTGTCTGTGAACAAATAACAGGGTTATCCAGACGAGTCCTATGCCCCTGGAACCTGGTCCAGCAGGGAATCGTTTCTCCACCTTGATTAAGTTGGTTCCTAGAAATACTGGGGCCCCGTTTTTATTTTCTTTTATTTTTCTTCTTCAATAGCTTAGGCCACAGCCTCCACTCTGCCTGGTCAATGGGGAAGAGTCACTGTTTTTGCCGTACTTTGTTTTATCTATTGGCAGACCTGGGGATTTCTGTGTGGTTCCCTCTTGGTGCAAGTTTTCTCATCACTCAAGCCCCACCTGGTTTCTGGCTAGCATCCTTTGTACATTGAAACATGTAAATAGTTGTTACAAAACAAAGAAATTATTTATGTCCATTGGAAGCTCATTTTACACCCTCCTTCGATCCCTTGTTCAGGATGATGAGCTCGCTTCCCCCAGCCTGTTTGTTTTCTTATTTAAGACTATTTATTAATGATCAGACCAATGTACCTTCAGCTGTTGCATAGAGCAGTCTTCCGTGAATTTTCTGTATAAATAGACAAAATAAAAAGGGTTTTGACTTTTCAATAAAAGGAGACATTTGGTTCTGATTCTTGGGGCTGTGTATGTCTGTGTGTGTTGTTTTTTCTCTCAATTCCTGGACATTGGAGTTCTCTTGGTTTGCTAAGGACTCTCTGCCTTGGCCCCCACCATTAATATGCTGTTTATCATCCAGGCTCTGGGGAGAAAGGGGTGCTCGTCAATGTTTGGTGCAGCTGTGTGGGGCTCCAGGCAGGAGAGATGGAACCCAACAACAAATGGGAATTTGGTAGGCTCCACTACAAAGATCCTTGATTGAATTACGGTGCAGCTGTCAACAGCTGTTTCAAAGAGGCAGGGGGTAAATTAGCTGTGTTTACTGCTAACATAGTTTAAAGATTTAGTCATCCCAATAAAATAGAGGCACAAGAAAGAAAGAAAGAAAGAGAAAAAAAGGCACAGTGGGGGAAGTGTACACCCAAAACTAAGGCAGCACAGACCCCAGAGCCAACATTGTCCAGTGCAAATTATCTCAGTGGTTTGGGGGCTGCTGTCGGCTCCCGGCTCAAGCTGTGGAGGGACACCTGGGGCCTGGTGGAGGCAGCCCGGGGCCCGCCGCCTAACTGCACACAGAGCAGCACTCAGCCATGCAGTGTGGAACAACAGCTCAGGTTCCTTCTTGCTTTGAAGTGCACACTGAGGTCACCTGATGGATGTTAGAACCGCAGCTGTTACTTGGCCAGGCTGTTCGCTCTTCCCCCGTTGCCTCCAATGAAGCAGCCGCTCCTAACAAGTTCCAGCCCCTGTGATTTCCAAACCCTCCTGTCACTGTCCCGATGCGCAAGTTAGCTTTTGTTCTATTTCCAGGCCAAAGACCAGAGCCACAAACCAGAGGGCCAGATGCGGCCTGCAGACGTGTCTTCTCCCCCACCCCCACCCCCGCGTGGTGTTTATACATCTTCAAAAAATGAATTCGTGGCCAACATGCTTTTGAGAACCAGAAGGTTGGGGGTGAAAAAAAAAATCCCCAGTTCTGGCTTCCCTTGAGAAATGGGCAGAGCTGGCTACCCTGGGCCACCTTCCTGCGTGGAAACTCTTGGCTGGAGCCAAAGAGTGGTTGTTGCCATAGTCCCCACTACTCCCAATTGCCTCTCTCACGAAGGGGTGAGCATCAGTTGCTGTGTTAATAGTTGTACATAGCTGGGTATTTGTACGCATGTGTCTATTAAGAGCAGGAAGGTAAAAGCTGGGCAGAGAGGGCCACACCTTCAGGAAGAAGCAGAGAGGGCAGACATTCTTCATCCCTGGCACACACCGCCCCCCGGCCCCGGTCTGGCACCTATCAGGGGCCCTGTAGGCAGGTGCGTTGTGGCTGAAACACCACACGTGGCCTCATCTTTTGCCTTCACATTTCCCTTCCTGCTTTGCACCTCTCTTGCTCGTTTTCACTGTGGAGCCGTTTTTCATCGCCTGCTCTCTGAGCTCCTGCGTCGGGTCCCATGGCTCCCACTGCTTGGCCTGACGTCCCTGAGGGCCACACTGAGTGGGTGCAGAGAGGTCCCCCAATCCCAGGTGTCAGTCCCTGAACCAGTGCCGACTTCCCGGACCACCAGTGCAGGCCTTGGGTCTCCCTCCTGCTTCCACACTGCCCGAGGCCCTCCCTTGCGAGCACACTGCTGAACTCGAAGCTCCCTCCCGGGCTGGGGCCGGCGGCCTTTCCTATGAGTCCTCCCCTGCCTGCCAGTGACAGAGGCTGTGTGGGCCTCCCTGGGAGGCTGGGGGGTTGGTTAGCGGTGGTCACGGAGGCCATCTGCTCCGAGAATTCTCACACGTACATTCTGAGTCCTTCCCTCTGTGCAGATCTTTTGGAGAAGGTGAGTGTATTCATTTCCTGGGGCTGCCGTCACTGGTTCCTACAGAGTGGGGGCCTAAAACAGCAGAAATGTATTCTCACAGTTCCAAGGCCAGAAGTCACCAGTCAGGCTGTCTGCAGACCTGTGCCCCGTGCAGAGGCTCCAGGGAAAGCCATGCCACGTGTCTCCCAGCCTCGGGGCTGCTGGCTTCCTCGGCCTGTGGCTGTTCTCACTCCAGTCTCGGCTGTCTTCACGTGGCCTCTGCCTTTTCCTATGTGTCTTTCCTGTGCCTGTCTCTTAGAAGGATACTTGTCATCAGCTTTAGGATTCCCTGGATAATCCAGGATGATCTCATTTCAACATCCTTTAATTAACACCTGCAAAGACCTTTTTTCCAAATAAGGTCACAGGTGGGATTAGGACGTGGACAGATCTTTTTTAAGGCCACCATTCAATCTATTACAGTGCAGCTCCTGTCCTTCTCGCAAGGCCTTGTTCCCCTCTCCCGCCACAAAGTCTTGGGGCCTAACAGAACTTTCTAGCCAGCCTCAGTGGGTCCTCACAACGTGCCTCGGGCCGTGCCTGCTGGTGGTGTGACAGATGCAGCTTCCTGCGCTCTCCCGTGGCTGGAGAAGGGGCTTGGGAGCCCAACCCCAGCTCCCCCCCATTCCCACCCTTTGCCCACACCCTGTTGGAGGCACTGACCCCCAGTGGGGCCGATGCGGCACAGGGGTCCAGGCCGCGTCACCCCTGGGGGAGCCAGCAGACCATACGCAGGGATGACCACCGTCGAGGGCGGCCAAACCTCGGTGCCCTTTGTAGGAGTGGGGACGGCTTGGAGGAAGCCCAACCTTCCTCTTTGGCCAGAAACCTTCCTCCACTCACCTGCTCACGCACTAATTCCAGGTGTCCACTGTATCCCAGCGCTGCTGCGGGCCCTGAAGGTGGGGGACAGGACAAGGTGTCCGCCCCGCGGAGCTTGCACCTGGGGAGCACAGGAGACGGTACTTGGCACCACAGCGTGCCTGTGCGGACCCCTCCCTTCATGCAAAATAATGCAAATTCGCTTTTATGACTGTGTTGGAACAAAGACAAATACAAGTTAGGCGGAATCACGTTCAGTTCTTACCTTCTGATTTTAAAAGACGTTAAGCCATTTTGTGGGCCCCTGAAGGTACCACGAGCCCTGGGCACTGTCTCCGCGGTGCCTGATGGACAAAATGGCACTCACGGTGAGCGATTTAGTGGCAGGTAATAATGTGGATCTGGAAGAAAACAGTGGGCGGGGGAAGGAAGTGAGGGGTTGGCAGCCAAGCTCCTCAGACGGAGCGGTCAAGGAAGAGCTCCAAGGGGGACCCTTGCCGCTGAGACTCCAAAGGAAGGACAGAGCAGGCCCGTGAAAGGCAATGGAGCTACTGTAGGGAAGAGCATTTCTGCCTGAGGGATTAGCATGTACAAAGGCTCCGAGGCCCCAGTTGAACCTCTCCCGCCTCCTCGTCTGCCGAGGCTGGAGGTGGGGTGAGCGCAGATGCCCTCACCCGGTGTTCAGGGTGAGAAGTGACACCTGCTAAAAGTCATTGCTAGAGGCCGCTGAGAGGACACTCACTTCCCTGCTCCGGAGGAAGACCTCCCCTGCTTTCTTACAAATATCTGTTTGGAATGGAGGAGAATTCTCATGCCATCGAGTCAGCAGCATTGTGTGTTGGGCAGAGGGGCCTGCGATCAGTTACTTACTTAGCTGTGGGACCTTCACTGTGGGCAACTCTCTACCATCTCTGTGACCTCGGTTTCCTCATCTGTGAGATGGTATGGTGCTCACCTAGATTATTTAGGATTAGCATCAGCAGTATATAACAAAGAAACCCCCATAACAGTGACTTAAACAAGATAAATGTTTCTCACTTAAGAGAAGCCTGAAAATCAGCTGTGCAAGATCAGGATGGCAGCTCCACTGTACCATTTGGTATCTAGTCTCTTTCTACCTTTCTGCTCTGTCATCCTAATTCATGGCTTCCATCCTCACAATTCACCTCATGGTCCAATATGGCTGCTGGAGCACCAGCCATCATATCCGTATTCTGGGCTGAATGCTCCCTTCAGCAGCCATCCTAAAGAGTAGACACAAAATACCCATTCACATCCAATTTACAAAAATACAGTCACATGACCACACCTAGCTGTAGGGGAGACTGGAAACTATAGTCTTTTATTCTAGGTGGCAATGTACATAGTCAAAAATCAGCAGTCAGGGTCCGATCTCTGTCAGAATTTTAGGGAGGCTGGAGCATCCTAAATAGCAATTAGCTATTTTTATTAGTTTTCTATTGCTACCTACCAATTACCAAAACTTATTGGCTTAAATCATCACCCATTTATTATCTCACCCCTTCTGTGGATCAGAAGTGTGGGCAAGATGTAGCTAGGTTCTCTGCTCAGGAGCTCACAAGGCTACAGTCAATGTGACGGAGGCTGCATTCTTACCTGGAGCCTGAGTCTTCTTCCTAGTTCATTTGGGTTATTGGCCAAATTCAATTCCTTGCAGTTGTAGGACCAAGGACCCCATTCTCTTGCTGGCTGTCAGCCATGGGTCACTCTCAGCTCCTTTATAAGTGGACCTCTCACAACGTGGTCAATTCATTCTTCAAAGCCAGTGGGAGGATCTCTCTTCTTTTAAAGATTCACCTGATTAGGTCAGACCCACCCAGGATAATCACCCTTTGATTAACTCAGAATCAGTCAGTTAGGGGCCCTGATTGTACCTGCAAAATCCTTTCATCTTTGGGAGCGATCATCATATGTTGGGCAGAAATCTGGGGGGCACGTCGGCGTTTTTCCTTGCATCTCACCTAAGCTCCACTACACGCCTCGGATCACAGAGGATGTTAAAGGCACCACGGACGCAGATGCTCCCTGGCAAGTAGCACACGAGAGCGATGACTAGAGCTGAAGGTAGGGTCCTCCCACTGAGAAGCCCCCCCACCCCACCAAATGAGTGGCACAATTTGAGTTGTGCCCAGAATCATTACCTGCAGTCCCCAAATTCTTTGTAAAGTCACTCATCACCTCAGCTACTCTCATACGTGCCTGAGGAGGACGATGGACTGACCTGTCTGGATCTTTGCAAAACACAGTATGAGCTCTGGAGCGCCCCCTCTGGGCCAGGGCCCCTGCCCAGGGCACATGAAGCGCTTTACGCTTGAGCTCACTGAATG